CTGGAGGGCCGGAGCCCTACAGTGTTTAGATTCAACCCTAATTAAACACAGCTGATTCAACTAATTAAGTCCTTCAGGCTTATTCGAAAACTATGTGATATGTGTGTTGCAGCAGGGTTGGAACAAAACTCTGCAGGGCTCCGACCCTCCAGGAATTGAGTTTGACACCCCTGCCTTATGGTCTCACAGACTTGACAGATTGTTAAAGTAATATATGCACAAACCCAAAGAGAATTATTTTGGATTTAATTGAATTCTGTTTATTTTTATACCTTTACAGAGAATTTTACCAGTGAGCAAGATGACAGTGTTGAGAAGCTCCATAGAAAGATACTAGACAGACTACTCTTAAAAAGTATGTATGGAAGAAGATATGAACCTATTTTAAATTACCAGTACATGTTTTATAAAGGTTAATGATTTGTTTTACTAAATAAATTAAAATAATGTACTGACTTTTGGTAAAGAGTCAATCTTCTGGTAAAGAGTCTCCAATCCCAAATAGCTACATAATTCTTTTTTTTTTTTTTTTATCTGAATTATATATTTGTGATTTAAATGATATTGTTTGTGTTCCTTAAATTCAGCAAGCCATCAGTTTTTCTCTGCTCACAGAGAGAATCCCTTCTGTTACACTCTTTCACAATGTCCTTTGGCTACAAAAAGCTTTTCCAGAATTTCCCCAACTCTTTCTTTCTTTTATTTCTCTCTCTCGTCTTGCAATCAGAACCAGAGGAAGTGCTTTCTTAGTAGGTTCATTGAGATTTGAGATGATGTCAGTCGTCATGCTTCCTTTTTATTGGAAATGCTATAGTTTATCCTTCCACTGCTTGACTAATCATTGAGACACTTCGCATGAATTCAGGAGGGGCATAGATGAAGGAATGAGAGAAAGAGAGAGAAAGAAAAAATGACACATGTAAGCACATGCTCTCAACTAATTCTCAATGCGCATCAGGGAAACAGACACACAGCTGTTACCAAGAAGACCACATCAGACAGCTCACACACATGCGCACAGCGCTCAGCCATGACATTAACACACTCAAACGACCAGAAGACATGATTTGATATTTGTGATCTGCAGTAACCTCAAATGACACATATGCAAACACAGTTTGTGGCCGCAAAACCCAACCTCTCGGCATGCTGATACTTTTTCTTATAACACCACACCTACGCTTGTCCTTAAGTGATGCAAGTCAAGTTCACACACAAACAAGGATATGCTAGTTGTGACGAGAAATGATAATTAAAGGTTTTATGCCTAAAGAAAAAAGTACTTGCACCTAGGAAATTAATTTACAAATATATTAAAATGATGCTCATTTACATTTAATTTTCTTCTACATAAGGCAGGTTGCCCACTCATGGTGGCTGCCATGTTGAGATCACATGAACGGCAAAATACATATCCATCTTTTCGGGAAATGTAACTGCATGGTTAATGCACATTATTTCATTTATTTATTATTTTTGTTTGTTTGTGGATGTGTAATGGCAGCTTATTAGATGAGATCTGTCCCCTTTTGTCTGTAATTGGATGACCTCATGGTATGTGGGCAACTGCAGCATGGCCATATGTCCGCATCTTTCCTGGACCAATGCCTCCTTTTTCCGAATCTGCTAGGGCCGTCGGAGCTTGTGCGTCTCTCTGTTGTGCATGTCTCGAAGGAAGAGAATGGGGAAAAACCCTTCTTACGCACATGTGGTCAGACACCTCACTGGTCCTGTCAAACATGATTTGCCTCATAATGACAGATTTCAGACCCAAGACTTGGGCAACTGCAGCATGGCCATATGTCCGCATCTTTCCTGGACCAATGCCTCCTTTTTCCGAATCTGCTAGGGCCGTCGGAGCTTGTGCGTCTCTCTGTTGTGCATGTCTCGAAGGAAGAGAATGGGGAAAAACCCTTCTTACGCACATGTGGTCAGACCCCTCACTGGTCCTGTCAAACATGATTTGCCTCATAATGACAGATTTCAGACCCAAGACTTGTGTGCACATCACCTTTTCAGAGTGGTGTATGGATAGAAATGAGAGGTGGCAGAAATGTGAATTAAATTCAAAATACACATAAACTTTACACCATAACTCTACTTTGCAATAACAAATAAAGTTAACTAAACCTTAATTGTTACCGTAATGTTTAAATCAAGTCAAAAGGGTGACAAATTTGCAGTAAAATCCATTGCACTTTCTATCTATCTATCTATCTATCTATCTATCTATCTATCGTTCTATCTATCGTTCTATCTATCGATCTATCTATCGTTCTATATATCGTTCTATCTATCGATATATCTATCGATCTATCATTCTATCGTTCTATCTATCGTTCTATCTATCGATCTATCTATCGTTCTATCGTTCTATCATTCTATCTATCGTTCTGTCTTTCATTATATATCCATCACTTGATATATAATAGTATTATTTACAGCTGCTTTTGTATTGTTTATGTCTTTATTTTTCTATTAAACATAATTCAGTAATAATTTAGATTGATTTAGATTAGATTGTTTAAACTAAGTATATTAATTATAATTATACATAAGTATTTCATGTAAATATTCTCTAAAGCTAAAACTGGATTTAACTTTGGGACCTGAGTCTTGTCTAGAGACAGGAATGTTAGAGACTTGAGGGTGGTCTTTTGACTTGGGTCAGTAAGCAACCACCTAGCGACCACCCAGAACACCCTAGCAACCATATACCAATGCACTACAAACCACTCAGACCACACCTCAGCAACTGCATACCAATGCTCTGGCACCCACACACACACCCTAGCATCATGGCAGTTTTTCATGGGCATGCACTATTCACATTTCCTTCAGAAATATAAAAATGTGGTTATGCTTAGCTTCTCTCTTTTAGGTATAAAACTGGTTTTGTGAAAATGTAAATCTCCTTAAAAAAAATCCAGTTTCCAACTTTTCGACATTTTCTTGGTGTTGTAGTCTACAGGTACCTCTCCATACACTAAAACAATTGAAAAAAAGAAATACCCACACCAAAGAGCTTTTTCTCCCGGTGTTCAGAGAACAAATATGCTTGTGTGGCTTTGAGCGTATGGAGATTAGAGAGAAGTATCATTCGACAGGGCCCTGCTAAAGTTCTACTGCTGTGTTGGTCTGCAACTAGGAGACCCACCACAGCAAAGTCAGAGGCGCACAAGGGCTCGTCTGTATCCCAAAGCCACAGGGCACCGATTCACCAAACTCCCCTCTACTGTAAACACATCTATGCTTTAACAAGACCCACACACACAGCTTACGCCTATGCTTCATACATTTCTGTGGTGTGCGAGGAATGATGCAGACCCGTTTACGTACATCTTGACATTAATTTAAGCGCATGATAAAACGTGATGCTGTGTCATTTGTGTGTATGTAAATGTGTTTTTTGTTGCTTTTGTTTCTTTTGTTGGGTTGAACAGTATAGCCCTTTCAGCCTTTTGACACTATTTGATTTATCTCATAATATTTAAAAGGTATTTTTTCCAAGTAGATTTAAAATGTTTAATATAAAAGCAAAATATTGTAAAAATCTCATTAAAAATGAAAAAATGTATACAAAGTCAAGTCACAAAGAAGAATATTTCTTTCTTTTTTTTTCTTCTTCTTTTTTTTATATATTTTTTATATGCACCAATATAACAACAAACAGCAATATTTCCCAAACACACTAGTGTTCAAAAGTTTGGGGTCGGTAAGAATTTTGTATAGTTTTAGAAAGAAGTTTCTTCTGCTGACCAAATCTACATTTACTTGATCAGAAATGCGGAAAAACAGTAATTTTGTGAAATATTAATAAAATGTAATAGCTCTATTTTTATATATTTTGAAATGTAATTAATTGTAATGATGACAAAGCTGAATTTTCAGCAAGTGGCATTTCAAGTAACATTTCTTATTATTATCACTGTTGAAAACAGCTATGCAGCTTAATTTTATTTATTACTTTTTATACTTTTTTTAGGAATCTTTGATCCTAAAATTGTTTTTATTTGATTCTTCTTAGAATTTATTTGAAATAGAAGTTTTTAAAAGTCTTTACCGTCAGCTTTGATCAATTTAATGCATTCTTTTAAAACAAATTCTACTGACCCCCAAATCTATAAACGGTTTTGCAAGTTTTATTTATTATTTTGCAATATGTAAAAATGCCATGCAGGGCAAAAGTGAGCATTTTTGAGTGATGCAAATGAATCTGATTCACAGAAATTAATCAAATTTACTAAAGTTTGAAATAAAGATGCTAATAAAATGTATTCCAGAAAATGGCATTTAGGAAACCTAATGGTCTCCTAAGTAAAAAATAAAAATTAGAATAAATTAAATCATTAAGATGCAGCTTAATTGTATATTTCCATTGAAATCACTGTGAATATATAGTGAATATTTGTGTCTTAAAATGTGCATGTAGTTTTTATTTATACATGTATTTTTGCAAGTGTGTGTATGTGTGTGTGTGTACAAGTTTATACAGCAAGCTTTGCAAAGTAACACCCTTTGTCTCCTCTCTATTAACATCAGAGCCTACAAAAGCCAGAAATTATAAAAAGGGGAAGGGACGAGAGAGAGAGAGAGAGAGAGAGAGAGAGAGATGCCAAATGGGGCAGTGAAATGAGGAAGCACAGAGCCAAGAGGCTGCATCACCCCACCACAGCCAACTCTCAGACATGAGTGAGAGTGGCACGCAAAGAGAGGGCGACACCGAGAGAGGCAGGAGGGGGTGAGAGTAAGGGGCACGAAGCCAAAGAGACAGTATCACCTAGCCACAAGGACCGGGCCAATGAGAGGGAGCGAGCAGGAGGGGAAATCTCTCAAAGCTAGCGCTCAGAAGAACCCACTCTCACTCTCTCATACAGTCTGGGAGTGTGTGTGCATATGTGTGTGCGAGCCCAGGATGAAGGATCGTCTGGCAAGCTGTGCTGGAGTGGCCGTGCAGCAGGATTTTCACGGTGCCCCCCTTTCTGTGTGTCTCTGTCCAGACGAGTCCTACCAGAAGCTGGCCGTGGAGACCATGGAGGAGCTGGACTGGTGTCTGGATCAGCTGGAAACCATCCAAACGTACCGCTCCGTCAGCGACATGGCCTCCAACAAGGTGAGAAGATGCAGCACATCACTTTTAAGAGCCTCTTTGGAAGTTGTAAAAACTCTCAGAGGATGCTTGCGCAGTAAAGCGCGTGCAAGAACTTTTTCCTGATAGTATAGAGAGTTTGTAATGCTTCTCTCAACGGCCGCTTTGTGAATGGGGCTATTGAGAGTCAGTGCTTGTGCCAGTTAGTTTGCATTCAAAATTCAAGCTGCTGTTTTCTAGTTTGCTTTTGAAATCTATTTGAATATGCAGAATATACACTAGATTTGAAATTTTAAGGTTTATTTTGATTTAGTTGTGGTGCATTTTCCAAGGTATTTGAAGAACAAGGCTCCCTTAGAGATGCCACATCACTTTATTATCATAACAGTCTCACACATTCTCTGTATAAATATGTTAGCAAGTCTTCCTAGCTTATTGAACAAGTTATAGCATGTCTTTTTTCCAGCATGTTTTTCCACACCCCTTTGTGTTGCTTTGGAAATGCGGTACACTGCGGTGTGCTCTGAAATTGATTTGATTGACAGCTTGTGGGCCAATTTACATTAACAGTGAGGTTTATCAAGTTAAATGTGAACTTTTTATTAGGAGATCTATTTTTTTCTTATTTTTTCTAGACTTGAATACATGTACAGCACTTCATTGCATAATCAAAGCAATATGATATACAATATAATCAATTTTTTGAAACACAAATAGCCTATTTTCTCATGAAACATCTGCTAATATGACAAGCACAATATTTGTTACAGATTCATATGTACATGTTTCAACCTATTTTGTTTATCATCCTTTTTTTACTTTTAAACACTATGTGTTTGTTTTCACATCTTTGTCAGTGTCATCTCAGAACAGAGAAAGATCGAAAAAGTTAACTGCTGGAAAAAGGTGAGCCTCAGTTTTATACTTTTATAAATTGTTAGTGGGTTGTTCATTTCTGTTGGATGTTACTTGGTGGACTTTTCAAGGACAAAACTGTTGCCTAAAGTAACTTTTTATTTCTGAATTCTGCTTTATAGATGAAAAGTGAATTCCTGCAAAGGTTGATTTTTTTTTGGTGCAGTGCTTTATTGTTTTGAAAAGTTGCAAATGAGACAATGTGTGGTCATGTAAGCGGTGGTCTTTAAGTTATCATTTTAAAAGAATGAGTTGTATAGTCACACATCCAGTTAACTGCTGGAAAAAGGTGAGCCTCAGTTTTATACTTTTATAAGTTGTTAGTGGGTTGTTCATTTCTGTTGGATGTTACTTGGTGGACTTTTCAAGGACAAAACTGTTGCCTAAAGTAACTTTTTATTTCTGAATTCTGCTTTATAGATGAAAAGTGAATTCCTGCAAAGGTTGATTTTTTTTGGTGCAGTGCTTTATTGTTTTGAAAAGTTGCAAATGAGACAATGTGTGGTCATGTAAGCGGTGGTCTTTAAGTTATCATTTTAAAAGAAAGAGTTGTATAGTCACACATCTATAATATAAGCCAGTCAGAGCCATGTAATATCGAACTGATGGTCTCAAGTCAAACTACTGTTAGTTTATAAAGTTCCTGCATAATCTGTTTGTTGTAGACTGAGAGCACCAGTATCAGCTTGCATGAAAATTGTTGTTAAACTGTTTGTGTAAATGTTCAGGTTTTTTTTTTTTTTTTTGCTGTCTTTTCCTTATAATCAGAAACATAACAAACAATTTTCTAGAAGTTAGAAGTTCCTTTCTAAACTTTAAGGTTTTAGAGTCACTCTTTGCTCTGTGGATATAATTGTGACTAAAGCAGCTTAAAGTATTTTAGCCTATAATTTAATAATTAAATATTTTACTTTGTCCATTTGTGGATGTTGTACACACACACATTTATGCACATATTGAGAAATTTAGAGGAAGTGAAACATTGAGCTTGTATCCTCAGGCATTGTTGGTTTGTCACACAAAGAGCTGCTGATTTCTTCAGAAATGTCATTATTGATGTTACCGTTGGAATATACCAGAGAACTCGTTTGTCATCTCAATGTGCGTCAGGGATCATCATATATCAATGGTTGTTCAGAATTTGCCGATTTTGCAATTATGTGCTTCTCAAGTGACAACATTCAGTGCAATAAAAACTCCCACAATTTCTGACCAAGAAACAGATGGGGGTTTTTCCCACTAGATGATGTACACAAGACATTTACTGTAGATAGATGTAATTAAAAAACATCAGTGTAGTGTGACATTTACATACAAGTTTGAATACAGAGAGAGATTTGGAAATAAGAATATAAATCTTGATTGACAGTGGACTGCTGTGAAAAGTGAAATGTATTTTGATGATTGATTGACTCGCCTGTCCTGCATCAAACACATTGATACATTAGACAAGGTCATGATGACAGTACAAATTGATTTAACATGCTGCCGGCGAACAGTGTGAGGTGACTGCACAAATCTATCTCACTTAATACTGTGGTTATATACTGCCCACTAGTGGAGAAAATAAAATAGCATCTAATTGCTAATTATCCCATTTTAAAGAAATGCAAAAATACAAACTTGCAACTAGGTACATAGAAATTATGATATGCATATTTGCTGTCAATGGGTAGTTGACATTAAATACATTTGGGAAGTTGGCATGTCCCTTGGTGTCACAAGCCATGCTCCATGTAAAACTATTTTAAAAAGCAATTTGCTTATTATTTTTTAATTCTAATATAGCTTTTATGAGGTTATGTTAACTGAGATACTGAAGGAAATGTGGAGAGAATTTTGTATAAAAACAGTTATGACCTTGTAGGATCATTTAAATGAACTACTGATGTTGAAAAGGTGAAAAAAATACATTCATATAAATTTTAACTTTAAATCTTGTTGTTCATTATGTGTCAGCTATAATTTCCTAACACAGGGAATCCATGTTAGCTGATAGAATCGGTTAGCTTTAATCAAGTGTTTGAAGGGTCTTTCTCTACAGAATGAAGGTCTTTGAGAATGAAATTCCCTTCATTCACCCTTTACTCTTCTCAGAGCAGAAGTCGGTGCACATCCGCCCCCCTACAGCCATGTTTCTCACGGGGCTTAGAGAGAGACACTCACATGGATTTATTGATATGGATGATAAGAAGAAATGTGAGCCGTGGAAAGCAGCCCGTCTTTGATATGTCAGAGTTGTTTACAGCTCTGACTAGACGTCTCACGCATCGCTGAGGAACCCCTACTGCAGCATAATGCAGAGATTCTCTGCTATTTTCCATCTTTCTCTTTCCCTTTCTCCCTCCCACTCCCTTTTTCTCATGAAGGTGCACAAACACAGACACGCACATACATTTCACAGTTCGGAGAATCCAAAATCGTTGCATGAATTCTTTTAGCTTCTCAAATCTGAGACCAACTTCTCTGTGTTAAGGGGCGAAAACAGGCTCAGTTGCAAGTAAATAACAAATATACTGTAAAAAAAAAAAAACTAGAGCATGTTTAACAAGAAAACACTATTTTAGTCTTTTTACTTCAAGATTTAATCTTAATTTCAATATTACTTGCTGTTTCTTTGTAATTATTAATTAAATTTACTAGCAATTTCTGAGTGTATATTGTTTCTATGTAAATCCTTTGTGTAATTGTGCATCTAGTGGGGTTTTTTTTGGGGTTGAGAAATGCACCATTTTATCCATCGTAGGTGAGTGTGATGAGGGTAGCATGGTCTGGTCTGCTGTTTTTGTTGGTTTTGGGCTCTTTAAAGATTGTCCATTTGGGAAACCAATGGGTTGCCCAAGTCCAACTAAATCATCCGAACACCATCCTAATCCAACAATTGTCTTATTTTTTCCCTCATATTCACTAAGGGTTTTCCCTGTCATTGGACTATATCAAGGACAGCGCATCGATTTTGGACGTTTGCCTCCTCCCCATTCTGATGAATTGGGGGTTGATTTGACAGATGTTATTGAGACGCAGTGGTGTCCTCGTGATTCCTGGGCAGCTATCTTTGGAGGCTGGGGAGGGAGGGAAGCCTCAGCGGCAGCCCATTTCACATGACGCTGTTGCCATGGCGTTGGGATGTTGGTGTAATTGGTGTTCGCATGTAGACGGAGAGGCAGAGAGAAAGAGAGAGAGTCATGGGGGGGGTGTTGATGTCACCGAAAAAAGACAAAGAGAGGCAATTATCCAAGTCTCCTCTCCCACCATACTCTATGGTAAAAATAGCACAGAGCTCCATGTGAATCCTCATGCATTATGGGAATGCAATAAATTAGGCTGACCGAGCCTAAAAGAACCCAGACTCATGTAAATCTCCCATCTTTGCTCTTACGTTGCCTTTGCAGCTACAAAAGGGCTTAAAGTTGTTCTCGATTAGGAATCCCTTAAAGTCGATTAATCATTCACAAAAGGCCAAGGGCGTCCTTAGACCTCCCTGTCTTTCTGTCCTTCTTTACATGTCTTTTTTTTCTACTTGTGCTTTCCCCGCATAACAAAGCAGGGGCTCCCCCCCTCCTCTGCCATCTCTGTGTCAAATCATATGTGCCTGTGGAGCGTGTTGCTGGGGCTGACAGACTCGAGACTGGGGGAGAGACGCGTGAGGGAGGGGGCGAGGCAGAAGGAGAGAGAGAAATACAGAGCGAGATGATGAGAGAGCATGAGCGTACTGCAGCAGCGGAGCGGTACTAATCCAGCAGAGGAAGACCCCCCTCCAGCCAGATGAGCATCCCAGCTATTTTTTTCCTTATCCCTCCCTCCCTCTGCTCCACTGCTTCTTCATCTCCTCCATAATTCATTCCAGACTTCCAGACCCTCCACTTCGCTTCCAGCTCCGGCCACCGCTCTCTGGATCATCCTCCAGCCCAGGACGGGTGTTCCCATCCGCTTTCGGTCCACCGCTCGCATCTGAAGCCATGGACAGTCAACGGCAGAGCGATTCGGCTGAGAGCTGCCGTGAAGACGGCTTGTGTCTGCTTTTCGGCTACTAATCCATACCAAGCAGAGTAGGAGAGGAGAGAAGAGGGGATTTTTCGTTTTTCCCAACCAGAAGAATCCCTTTCATCTGCCTCTCTCTGGCTCTTTTCCTTTGTGGTATAGGAGTGCGCTGTTGTGGATTTCGGGAGATTAAATACGATCCAAAATGCCTGAGGCCAATTACCTTCTCTCTGTATCCTGGGGTTACATTAAGGTGTGTATGGTGGCTACTAAGCTGTTTTTGGTCTGCCTTATGGAGGTTGGTTTTGGTTCGGTGATTGTTGGTGGTCTAGAGAGACACTGAGGAGGAAAACCTACAGCAAGTCTCGCTGTGTGGCATCCTGTCCTGGAATGTCTAGATCTGAGCTCTATTTTGGGCTGTTCTTTTCAAAAGAATCTGTTGTATTTTGGCTGAGATGTTGATTTGGATGTCAAAAGCACAGTTATATAGGTTGTTTTTTGTGATTTATCCCCTTGTACTAATGAAGCTTAAAAAGGAGATGTGGCGCAGGATATGGCTGCCGTTTTTTTAACTTATTTAATTATATATGCATTTGTTTATTTATTTCTTGCCAACATTGCATCTTTTGGAACCACATCATTGCTTTTCGAACTTATAGTCATACATTATATGTGGAGAAAAAAAATTCTAAAGAAAAATATTACTTGGCAACAGTTTGAAAATTGCAATTTACAAATTAAATCTCAACCAGTGTCTACCTTGTCCCTTGAATTTCTCTCTCATTCTTTATTCATTTGCATTTTTTACGCATGGTATGAGGTATAAGAGATTTATTTTTGAAACAAGAGAAATTAATGCATTAAAATGTATGCATAAATATTTTTAAAAGGAGATATTACGATTTAAATATTAATATATTTAATAATATTTTTATCATATTTATATTTATTCTATTATTTATTTGGTCATATTTAACATTCTGTACCCCATAACACATTGCAACATTGTATGAAAATGCATGTCTATGTAAAGGAATTTTAAATATGCCATTTTGCAAGACTTTGGAATATGGCTGCCCTACTGAAGACTCAATGTTGAACCTTTTTAATGTTTTTGACTAATGATTCTTCCTCTTTATCTTTTCCAGTTCAAGAGAATGTTGAACAGGGAGCTGACGCACCTCTCTGAGATGAGCAGATCTGGCAATCAAGTGTCGGAGTTCATCTCCAACACCTTCCTAGGTAATCACACATATATTTACTGTTACACTAAAACACCCGCAGTCATCGCTAGACATTGGCTATCTACAGTATGCGCCATTGTGGATTGAATTTGGGCTGCGTCATTTCCAGAACTGAACTGCGGTTTAGACTGATGCTGTATATCCAAAAGCTATGAAAACGAGGAAAAATAAATCCATTATTTGTGAAAGTGTTGAACATTAAAAGATAAGACTTGCAGTACAAAGGCTAATTTTGTTTGTGGAATGTCGTGAGATGGCATCAGACTTTCGATTCTGCATGAGGAGAGAGATCCCCAATGCAGCATTTGGAAAACAGGAAGGGGAGGGTGGAAAGGAGAGCAGAAATATGGGAGGGAGGGAGGGAGAGACGGAGGGGGATGGGATCCTGCTGTAAAGCAGTGCTGACAGTGGAACCCCCCAGAACGGAACATCCAGGCAAGAGAACCTGTGACTCATCCAGCTCCTGTGCTCTCATCGAGATGCCATCGCATGCCCTGTCTAAACACACAAACACTCATGTACCTTGCCGCAATCTGAGATCCCATTTCACTACAAAAAATTATTTCTTAATCATTATTTTTGACTTGCTTACTAATAAAATTTGTAAAAATGTTTAAGACAAGAAATTACATTTAAATGTACTTTCAGCAAAATGTTGTTAAATATTATAAAGAGTAATACATTAGAAGTTCTTCTGATTGGATTATATTTTTTATCCATCCAAATCCATTATGTTGAAAAAATAATGTTTAGATATTTTTACTGATAAAAAGGCAAAAATATAGATTAAAAAAACATTTTTTTGCAGTGTAAAAAGGATTGAGATTTGAAATTTGATGATGAAATCTGCAAAAAACATTGTTGTCCATTCTGATGGTGTACAATTTTGTGGCCGGATTATTTGGGACTAAAAGTGGTTTGATTTTCCTGGGATTAAATGTTAGCTGTGAAACATCTGTGCGCTGCGTCACGTGTGACTGCTCTCTTTATACCTCCGTGATTTCGCTATCTGCATCAAAACGCGTGAGTTTAGCAGTGATGAGATTAAATCGGACCCGGACGTAATGTCTCTTTCCTTTTTTTTCTTGCTTTTTCTGAAATCTTGGATCTGTGCACACAGCCTGTACATGTGGCTTGCCTTTGGTTGTTTGCTATTTTATATGAGAAGGAAACATGGAGTGACATCTGACAGAGAATCCTGAAAGGAACGAGGCGAAAGGAAAAAAGAGCTCTGATGGATGTTTATGAGAAAACAAGCAAATTGGCTATAAGGAGCACTCCGTGGGATCAGATAGGAGGCATTTTCTCTTGATCAGGCATCTTTACCGCAAGAGAAGGAGAGAAAAACAGATAGAGGCTTTTGAGATGAAAGAGAAACAAGTACTCCCTCATCCCCGTCCCTTTCCGTTCCGTCATCATAATAGGACGCCTCGTAGTTCTTCACTCAGGATATAAGCCCATCTGAATGACTGCGGTGCTGATTACGGCACGGGTTCATGTTTAACAGAGACATATGAGTGAAGAGGATAATGACTGTAATGAATTAACCAACCCTCATATTTCACCTCCTCTCTTTCTCCATCAAGCCAGCGGCTATTACCAGGTGTTATCGCAGTCTTTCAGCCACATGCCAGAGCTTTACGGCAAGAGAGAACAACGTTATCTGCAGTAATTGAGAAACTGGAAATAAAAATTCAGTCCGCTCGCAGCCTGTGGCTCCTTGAGAAGGATTTGGATTAGCATTTCCATTACGGATTAACATTAAGGTTTATGGCATTATCAACTGCATTTTAGCCCAAAGATATGCCCTTCCTGTGCCACCATTGTTTGTCAGTTGATATCTCCTGAGGGTTGACCTTTGGAGATGCCATATGAGGCAGACACGGGCTCCCCTGCAGTTTGTTGACAGGTCTGTCACAGTGAAAATGGAGAGTGGAATTAGAGGAGAAGGAAAGGAGGGGCAAGCCCCGCTTAAATAGCTCAGTGGCAAAGTCGCTGTGAATTGGGTGTCTGTTCTGCCGTTCAAGGGCAACAAATCCTGAGAAGCACACGCACTGAGTGCAGATGTGAGCTATTCAGCTGTGGCACTGCAAAAGGATTGAGATTTGAAATTTGATGATGAAATCTGCAAAAAACATTGTTGTCCATTCTGATGGTGTACAATTTTGTGGCCGGATTATTTGGGACTAAAAGTGGTTTGATTTTCCTGGGATTAAATGTTAGCTGTGAAACATCTGTGCGCTGCGTCACGTGTGACTGCTCTCTTTATACCTCCGTGATTTCGCTATCTGCATCAAAACGCGTGAGTTTAGCAGTGATGAGATTAAATCGGACCCGGACGTAATGTCTCTTTCCTTTTTTTTCTTGCTTTTTCTGAAATCTTGGATCTGTGCACACAGCCTGTACATGTGGCTTGCCTTTGGTTGTTTGCTATTTTATATGAGAAGGAAACATGGAGTGACATCTGACAGAGAATCCTGAAAGGAACGAGGCGAAAGGAAAAAAGAGCTCTGATGGATGTTTATGAGAAAACAAGCAAATTGGCTATAAGGAGCACTCCGTGGGATCAGATAGGAGGCATTTTCTCTTGATCAGGCATCTTTACCGCAAGAGAAGGAGAGAAAAACAGATAGAGGCTTTTGAGATGAAAGAGAAACAAGTACTCCCTCATCCCCGTCCCTTTCCGTTCCGTCATCATAATAGGACGCCTCGTAGTTCTTCACTCAGGATATAAGCCCATCTGAATGACTGCGGTGCTGATTACGGCACGGGTTCATGTTTAACAGAGACATATGAGTGAAGAGGATAATGACTGTAATGAATTAACCAACCCTCATATTTCACCTCCTCTCTTTCTCCATCAAGCCAGCGGCTATTACCAGGTGTTATCGCAGTCTTTCAGCCACATGCCAGAGCTTTACGGCAAGAGAGAACAACGTTATCTGAAGTAATTGAGAAACTGGAAATAAAAATTCAGTCCGCTCGCAGCCTGTGGCTCCTTGAGAAGGATTTGGATTAGCATTTCCATTACGGTTTAACATTAAGGTTTATGGCATTATCAACTGCATTTTAGCCCAAAGATATGCCCTTCCTGTGCCACCATTGTTTGTCAGTTGATATCTCCTGAGGGTTGACCTTTGGAGATGCCATATGAGGCAGACACGGGCTCCCCTGCAGTTTGTTGACAGGTCTGTCACAGTGAAAATGGAGAGTGGAATTAGAGGAGAAGGAAAGGAGGGGCAAGCCCCGCTTAAATAGCTCAGTGGCAAAGTCGCTGTGAATTGGGTGTCTGTTCTGCCGTTCAAGGGCAACAAATCCTGAGAAGCACACGCACTGAGTGCAGATGTGAGCTATTCAGCTGTGGCACTGCACCTGGGCCAAAGGCGTCTGCTTACGTCACTAAGGGAAACACGATACATGGCCACCGATTCCCCAACAATGGGCTTTTGTGCGGGCATGTATGTGTCTCGTCTGTGTGGAAACTACAATGAAAAGATTGAGTAATCTGGAATGTGATCTGCCAACAACTGAAACAGTTGTGCATGATCGGTATTGAAAGATTTGAGGACTATCACAGTTTTTCATGGTGACGAGTTAACAAACGGTCGCTTTCCACATTGTCTGTAGAAATTTGAGTGCAAGGTTAGTTGCCACCAGGAAAGAGACCAAAATCGTTCTAATCATTTGGTTCTTGCTGTTCCTCACAGACAAACAGAATGAGGTGGAGATTCCCTCGCCTACCCCTAAAGCCCGCGAGAAGAAGAAAAAACAGCAGCTGATGACTCAGATCAGTGGTGTGAAGAAAGTATCCCACGGGCACAGCCTCAACTGCGGCATCGCTCGCTTCGGCGTCAAAACCGACAAAGAGGATTTACTGTCAAAGGTGAGTAGAAGATTGAATACTTGCTCTTTAGTGGGTTCGAATTAAAATTTCCGTTGATCTCATTCCACTTGTGTCTTCTCTTTCCAGGAATTAGAAGATCTGAACAAATGGGGCCTGAACATCTTTACAGTTTCAGAGTATTCTCACAACCGGCCTCTCACTTGCATTATGTACGCCATCTTCCAGGTCAGTTCTTCCTCCAGCCTTTCTTTTGCTTATGACTTCCAACATTTTGCAACAAAAATGTCACATAGTCCAAGATTGTAATAATATTGCTTCTCTCTGTAACAGGAACGTGACTTACTTAAGACATTTAAGATCCCGGCAGATACTTTTGTGACATATATGATGACCCTTGAGGATCATTACCACCAAGATGTGGCCTATCATAACAGCCTTCACGCTGCTGATGTGGCCCAGTCAACTCACATTCTGCTGTCCACACCTGCACTAGATGTAAGAACGTTTTTCTTCAGGTGCAATTGTCAGAGTTTTCCCTCAAAGGATTTCATATATCTCACCATTTTCAATTTGTCCTAACAGGCTGTCTTCACGGATCTTGAGATCCTGGCAGCCATTTTTGCAGCAGCTATTCATGATGTGGACCATCCTGGAGTTTCAAACCAGTTCCTCATCAATACAAGTGAGTGTTCTCAATTCCCACCCTACTATCAGCATAAAGTTGGAGACACTTAAATTAATCCTGTATTTATTCATTTCTTACAGACTCAGAGCTAGCGCTCATGTATAACGATGAGTCCGTTTTGGAGAATCACCACTTAGCCGTGGGCTTTAAACTTCTCCAGGAGGACAATTGTGACATCTTCCAGAACCTCACTAAGAAACAGAGGCAGTCACTCCGAAAGATGGTCATCGACATGGTGAGGTTCTTCCCTTCTTTCTTTCCTTCCTTCCTTCCTTCCTTCTTTCCTTCCAGGCCATCTGCTTTCATTTACATTGCAGTGATTTATATGCTAACACATATTGTTCAATGTTTCCTGTTAACAGGTACTGGCCACAGACATGTCTAAGCACATGAGCTTACTGGCCGATCTGAAGACCATGGTAGAGACGAAGAAAGTGACAAGCTCAGGAGTTTTACTTCTGGACAACTACACAGACAGGATACAGGTACAGGTCTTCCTGTTCTCCTTCCCTGTCAATGAATGTTTCCTGTAAATTAGAGGAACAAAATTATTTGCAATCATCTAAAATTGTGGTGTTACTTCAGGTTTTGCGGAACATGGTTCACTGCGCCGATCTGAGCAATCCCACCAAGTCTCTAGAGTTGTACCGCCAGTGGACTGACCGCATCATGGACGAATTCTTTCACCAGGGTGACAGAGAAAGGGAACGTGGCATGGAGATCAGCCCCATGTGTGACAAACACACTGCCTCGGTGGAGAAATCACAGGTTAGTTACTGTCTGAGATGTATGGTCTCTCCTGGCGTACCATATTTGAAGTACCTTATGACGTCTAACGCATTTTTCTCTCTTCAGGTGGGTTTCATTGACTACATCGTCCACCCGCTGTGGGAAACCTGGGCCGACTTGGTGCATCCAGATGCCCAGGATATCCTGGACACACTGGAGGATAATCGGAACTGGTACCAGAGCATGATCCCCCAGAGCCCTTCCCCACCCTTCTACCAGCCCGACAAAGAAGGCAACGGTGGGGGTTCAGGGCCAGACAAGTTCCAGTTTGAGCTCACACTAGAGGAAGAGGACTCAGAAGGCACAGAAAAAGATGAACAGAGCCAGGGTGACGAGGAAGAGGATGTGGAAGAAGAAATGGATTCCACTACACACATCCAGATAGTTACCGAAGATGCATCACCTGTCGACACATAGGACTTGGCATCTCTTAATAGGCAGTAGTTGTTTTTTCCCTTGCGAGAGGAGCAATCTTGCAGTTGATGCTTTTTAAAAAGCCCACATGGGGTGCTTTTTAGGCCCTCATGGGAGGAGGATGTCTTGCCCTCCTTGCACTTATGTTTGGAAACAGTTTGGTAGGAGCTCTCAGGAAATAAATGCTGCAGACATTTTGGACCTGAACAATTGACAGGCGACTTTGATAAACATGAAGGATTGGGCCCAACGTGGACAGTTTGTTTGTTTGTTTACCTGCCGGTGAGGAGTAGACACTACTGAGAGGATTTCTCTCTTTTTTTTTTTGTACCAACACAGACTTTTTGTAAAGCTATGGTTGTGTGTTGAGGTCAAACACGAACTACTGAAGAACAAGTATTTGTAAAGAGAGAAACTGTTTACTTTTCTGTACCATTTGTCTAAAGACTGTGTGCCTTTTTACTATTGTCTTTTTAATAGTCTTTTATTTATTGAACACATTTTAGTATAACTGTATGTTGAAATGTTTTCGTTTTCTAAACTAGACCAAACATGCAGAATTGTTTTATATCTACGCTGGAGAGAGAATTAGTGTCTTCCTTTGTTTGGCAATATAACTTGATAATCCAAACATCTGACAAACGATCAGAAAACTAAGAAATTATGAAAGAGGCACTTTCTGTTTATTCTATCTACATTTGTGTCGGACTTTTTAAATATGAGCACAAACTCTGTTTATTTGGATCCGTACATCATCCCATCCACATTAGGTTGAAAAAAAACCTGTTAGGTAAATGCATTGTTGCACAAAAAACTTTAAATGCCCTTAAATATGAAGAGCCCATTTGCTTAGATCGTAAAACAAAATACAAGCACCCCCCAAAAAATCCAATCACTAGGGGTCTCATAATGTACTAAAATCACAGGGGAAGCCAAAGCTATGTTCACTTAAACGTTAATTTGCTTTCGATTCATCATAATTGTCTTCCTTACAGCAGCCATTTTTCATTCTTCCCATCATACCTCAGAAACACAGAATAAAAGCAGTCCAAACTAGCTTTTGTAGCTTTTCTACACACTTTGATACAGAACATTTCCTCATTTATCTTCTAAATAAAACATCTTCTCTTATGATTGGCTCACTTTTAAGAGAGATAAAAACATTGACGTCAACTGATTTCCTTCCCCATCTCGTAGAACACCAAGATATGATAAAAAAAAAATCTCACTTACATCTGCTCTAGTACTTCAACAATTACACTTGTCAAATTTCAACATGCCAGTTTTGTAATTAATCTATTGACGTTAGCATTGTTGTCTCATGCATTTTGCCACCAATAACGTTTAAGTTTGTGTGTAGTTCATACTTTGAGGTACTTTAACTGCCGTACACTCAAAGTCTCAACAGTGGAAACAGTTAATGGCCAAAATAGCATGCAAATGTACGTTTGTGCGCATATATATATATATATATATATATATATATATACACGTGTCTACACATTACTGTGTTTATGTGTGCAAGCGTCCGTCAGGTCGCTTGATCACCAGCCCACGCTTTTCACAACTCCTTCCATTCACTTTGTTTCTATGCGCTCAGATTGGTCCTCTACTGTTTATAACAGTGTATTTATTACCGTTAACTGTACATAAGAAATAATGTTTCTTTGTAAATGGATTAATTTATATGCACTTGCATTACCGAAAATTGGTGGTGTTTCTTGTGTAGTGGGCTCTTGGACTGAGTCTGTTTTATTTAGTAATATTGTTTGTTTTAATATAAATAAATATATATTATATATACTATGTATGAATATATTGCACAATTTCCAACTGCCCAGAACAGTAGCCTATGAGACACACGACCCATTGGTAACGGGGAGAGTCTGTAGATAAGACATAAATGCATACTGTAGACATCTGTCAGATATTAGAAGCTTTGTGTATCACTGTTTGGTGTAACATCGATAAATCAGTATCTCACGAGAATCTCCACAGAACGTGGCCCTCAAATATATACAACACTTTGAATGGAGATTGCTAAAAAATGGCTCAGAAGTGGCCTGTAAAGGCACATTTACAGGAGATGAATTGGTCACTAACATCACAATCTCTGAACAACAATGTGAAATCGATATGATTACGAAAATGTGATCTTCTGTAATTATTTGTGCTAATGTGAACTATTTTCTGAGCTTGTTAGCAGTTTTGAAATTCAAATTGTCAGTATAACTTTGTTAATCTATGTTT